TAATTTGTGAGTCACTTTGCTAGTCTTTTTCAGCATTCTACCAAACTGGTGGTTCTTGAATTAAAATACAAAAGTTCAAAATACATAAAATAAGAATGTGCAGTTAACTCTAGTTAAGTCTGCATAAATATCTAGGTATGTATGTCTTTTTGAAAGTAATGGGGATTCAGCACCCAAGGGAACTGAAACATGTCAGATATTTATGAGGCATTGGGAAGTTCCTCCTGCCGTGGGCAGTGCCAGAAAGGGACACACGCTTAAACTGTTCAGAATTTGAAAAATTAATCCATACAAAATACATGAAATGAGACAAGAACCTTACTTTTTGAGAGACACTATGATCATGTCATCTATCAAGCTGTAGTCAATAATTCGACATGTATGTTTACTTCCAGGCTTAAACACCTCAGTTTTGAAAGATTTGGAAGTCTTTGGAAGATACTTTATCTGTAAAATATATTATAACGATTAAGTCAATTTCTAGTATAACATCAACCCTGCTATAACACAACAGACATGGTGTCTTAGAAGCTTGATCATTGGCCAAATTCAAAAAACCCATATTTACTTTATTTAAGCCAACAAATATTCTTAAGAATTATTAAATAAAATGAACAACAAAACACAATAAAAGTCTTATAATGCACGTGACAATAATATTTATGCCATATTAAAGTCTCCCTCTCTAAACCTGGTGTCTAAACTGCAACAGAGGGGAAAAAAATATTTGTGTGACGCTAAAAAAATTATGAGGGCACCAAGCTCCTGGGAGGGTCTATAGCTCTGAAGACCATGTTGAAGAACGTACCTAGAAGACATGTTTTCCTTTTATAAAAAGGTAGCCTTTTTATAAAAGGCTACCTTTTTCATTCCGTCATCACAACTGCAGATAAAAAAATCACAGTCCATGCAAAAGCCTGTCCATTGCTTTGTACATGCACAATAACAACAACAATAAAAGGCCCAAACTGCAAAAACATAAAAACTTCCATATGTATGCAAAATTCTTGTTCTGTTTGACAACTGTAGAAACATGATATCTGAATAAGCCACAGAACCATTGTGGACGTTTATAGCCATTATTATCCATTTCTTAAATCTATATCCCATCTTTTCTCCAGAAGACTCAAGATGATTTACATGATCCTTAATTTTAGCCCCATTAATAGGATGGAGTAAGAGAAATGGACTGCCTAAAATCACCCAGTGACTTTCCTTACTGATGCTGCATTAGGAGTTGAGTCTCCCAAATCCTGATCTACTAGTACCTTGACTATTAGCTACGGTAGATCTCAATTTGGTTCTTAAAGACACACCAAGATTTTAAACAACTTAGAAACAGACTGACAACCAACAAACCAATTTGTTTATTTTAAAGGATGCTTCATTAGAATGAATGAATGAATGAATGAATGAATGAATGAATTTATACAAAAGAAAGCGGAAAAAATCTTCACTAACTTTTTTTTTTGGGGGGGGGAGTATTTTTTTTTCCCAGAACCCAGGAAGTCCAGGATTATATCACCAAAATCTGATAGCAAATTATGTTGTGATTAGTGGAAAAACACCACAAAAGCAACCTAAAACCTAAGAACAACTTCTGGATTAAACAGTCGATTTGAAAGAGCCTATATAAAAATCATGCCCTTATTGGTAAAACAATTATGTCACTGATTAGCCCTTACTACTGAGGGTATGTGGGGGAATTGAAAATGCTACCTGGTCTGACAGTGAAACATACACAAGAAAACAACCTAACTCTAAGAGCAGCAAGAACCCAAGTGGCCTATTTCTGTCCTACAGATTTCACTGTACAAGAACATAGAGAAATAATAAAATACATTTAGCAAGGACTCATTAATGGATAAAATTAATGCTAGAAGCAAAAGTCTTCCAGCCAGTAAGAAGATAATTGCATTTTCCCTTGATGTTTTTTGACTGATGAGACATTTAAATAAAAAAAGTAAATACAAGCTGAAGCCTCCATTATGTTACTTACATGTGAAAAAGCATGACTGNACATAGAGAAATAATAAAATACATTTAGCAAGGACTCATTAATGGATAAAATTAATGCTAGAAGCAAAAGTCTTCCAGCCAGTAAGAAGATAATTGCATTTTCCCTTGATGTTTTTTGACTGATGAGACATTTAAATAAAAAAAGTAAATACAAGCTGAAGCCTCCATTATGTTACTTACATGTGAAAAAGCATGACTGCCATCATCCAGCATGAAAACAGCACCAATGTTTTTGAAAAACATCTCTACTTTTGAGTCTGCTACTACCACACCAATCCGATCATTGGAAAGTTGGCTAAGCTGGATGCCAGGCTGAAGGAAAACTGGGCGCAAAGAAAGGCGAATTGCCTTGGAAGCAGGATTATTTGAAAGAATGCAGGCTTTCACCTGGAAAGAGGAAAAGCGGAAGAAAGTATTTTAATTCCATTTACTAGACAAATTTTTTGTGGAGGAAGACAGAAAAATATTTTTATAAGTATTTACAAAGTGCCAGAAGGTAATAAAGATATTAAAAGTCTTGATCCTTATGATTTCATGAGTACATCTATACAGTCTTTTTACAAGTGACACAGAAGTATTAACTATTTCTAAGATGTTTATCAACTTCTCAGGTTGGCTTGGTAGTCTACCATCCAAGTTTTAACCAACCCTATGCCCACTGAGTTTCTATGCCTATATAAGGATGGATAAATGCTGCCACCTTCTAAGAGCATTAAGAATATCACTTTTACTTTTTTAAAAAAATTCTAGAATCCAGGAATACAAAGAACTAGTAATTTAGACATGCAGTAATTCGTTTACATTTTCATCATAGTTTAAACATAACTGCTTACCAACCTACCATCTGATTTGGTGAGAAAAGTCTTGTTTTTAGAGAATTTGTGTGCATGAAATCCACAATTCCAGTAAAGGAAGAGAGAAAACTTAAAGAAATTCCAGAAGAAGTCACCTGGAAAAATATAAAAGGAACAAAAATGCTTCTTATGGATGGATTTCCTTAAAAGATCTGGAGGAAAAGTGAAGACTTAACAAAACAAGTATTTATTTTGACATTTTAGAAATGTTATATATTTGGTTGTATTAATCATTTTCTACTTAAGTTTCAATTAAATATCATTTTGCATGCATGACTGAATATGTGAAATTATATAAAAGTCCAACCAGAAGATGAAAGCTAGTAGTACAGATGCATGTTTGCCAACAAAAATATTTTATTTTGTAATTATCCTTATATTATACTGGGTTTTAAATGGGAAAAGGAGCAACTGGTGTACGAGATAATACAATGAAGAGACCTTCCTGGCCATAGCTGCCATCTGCTTTTTGAGCAAGAGCTGTGAGTCCAGGACAAACTCCAAACTGTGTGCTAGTTCCTTCTAGAACTAAAATTGAAAAATCCCAAGAGAGAAATGGTCCATGACCGCCAAGCCATTCAGATTAGCTAGGATTGATCCTAAGTTTGCTCCTCCTCATCTAGATCCCAACATCCTCGCACTATTACAACACAATCTTGACAGGATCACTTAGTAGGCCTGGGTCAAGATATTTAATTGTATCGTCAACAGATCCTTGAAGCAAGCCTGACCTTATGAGGGATGAGCTTGCCCAGCAGTTTTAAGTAGATATTAAATAGTCTTGTGGGAGTCCACAGTATAGGTGGGTTGGGCTCAATCACTCCTCCTTTACCAACAGTGAATGAAACTAGGCTTAGGAGGAGAATCAGCATTCTTGCTACCCTTGATTCTGGGAAACAAATAAGATACACTTGAAAATCCACCCTCACTTTGAAGGAAATGAAATTAACGCAGAATTGTGTGCATAACCATTTTAAGTAGGGGGGTCTTATAAAATTCAGAATCTGCCTACAAACTTTCCAACATCATTTATAGTCTAGCAGAATAAAAATTGCAATCAAGCAGATATCTGCCTACCATGTAGACTCTTGGATTAACACAGTGTTTCTCAACCTTGACATTTTTAAGGCAGGTGGACTTCAACTCCCAGAATTCCACAGCCAGCAATGCTGGCTGTGGAAATCTGGGAGTTGAAGTCCACATGCCTTAAAATTGTCAAGGTTGAGAAACACTGAACAGATCAAAAATTGGTTCTTAACTTCAATATGGATGAACTTTATGCCCACTACAAATACAATTTTCTTTTTTGTATGTATGCTTATAAACAATAGAGGATTCGTTTTACCTCCTGAACCTGGGCTTTCACCACTAGCCCAGGTAGCAAGTTGGCGAGTGACCAGTTTTGTTTTTCTGTGGCAACGGCTGAAGCAACCTCAGACTGATTGATGGATACGCGGATTATTCTTCCACCGTTCTTCACTTCTTCAATAAGGCAGTTCAGATATTGCCCTATCTTTAGTTCAGTTCCTATAAATCCAGCATACTGAATATAATCTCTCTTCAGTAATTATTTGCTATAACTTTTCTGTTATCATATTTTTCAGCTATTTCATTAATTCACCAATTTCATCGTGAGTGATAAATACTTTAAATAAGCAAAAAAACAAACAAGACTCCCATTTAAAAAAATCTAGAGAAGTTGGTCAAATATGGAAAATAGCTACTGTACATTGATTTAAATACACACATAAACAGAAACACAGAACTTTCTCTCCCCCCAGTGTTACACTCAACACAACAATAAAAAGTTTTACCTTTGTTGAGTGATTGCAGATAGCCCTGGGCTTTCTGCCGAGGAAGAAACGCTTTTGTTCCAGGAATACCTATATCAATAATGTAACCATGGTCTTCTATACTAGTTACGCATCCAGAGAGTAGCTGTTCAAATAAGAAATATTGAATTAAATATATATAAAGAGATATATAGAGTAATTCATACTGTTCTTTGTCCCCTACCTTTTCTCATTTACTAAGTTTCATTTACTAAGGAAAAAAGCCATTGACTTTCACAAGACCTTCATTGCTAATTGCCCAAATCTTTTTGGAGTTTAAAAAATATTGTTGTTAAATTGAACAACAAACTGATTGCCATTGGGATCCTGCTAGCTAACATAACAGGTGACACAATGAGCACATCTAGCCATAAATACCTATGTGTGTGTATATGTATCTACATAACACACACACTCTCTCTCTCTCATCATGTTCATCTTCAGCGCTAGCCTTTTTTTATAATTTATAAATTTATAATTTAACTTGTATTTTTCTCAGAAGCCAGACAGATTTTCCACACAATAATGAATGCAGCTACAGGTACTCCTCAGCTTACAATCAGTTGTTTAAGAACTGGTCACAATGGTCTTGGAATGGATGCTTTATGACTTGTAAAGCACTTCTGGCTATGATAAAACCTCATCCTCCCCCCCCTCCTCCCAGTGGCATCATTGCATTTGGGACACTTGACAACCTTTGCGCTTAGGATTAGTGCTCTGCAATTATGTAATCACCATTTGCAGTCTTCTCTGCTGATTTCTTCCAGAAAGTCAGTTGGGAAACTGACAGGGAAGAGTTGTAAGTGGAGAGGACATTTGATTTGAGATCCATTCCCCCAGCGAGATTTTGCCTTCCCTCCGTGCTGGGAGAGGGAGGGAAATTATCCCATCTGCTGGAGGAAGGGACTTCAAATCTGGCAAAAACGCTAGCAAATGCCAGCATTTTGCACATCTTCAAACACTGGCATTTGCCAGCATTTCAGCCTCTCCGGATGGGAAATGCTAGTGAACACCAGCGTTTCCATCTCTTCAGAGGAAAAATGTTAGCAAACACTGAGTCTGCATTTGCTAGCATTTTCACCAGATTTGAGGCCTGTTCCTCCAGCATGCTGAGGGATTTCTCTTCTGTTCGCCTCTGCAGTAGTTGAGTAAAGAATTCATGTGACATGTCATTTAAGAACCGCTTTGCTCAACTACCAAGATTCAGGGTCAAGTGGTGATTGTTAAGTGGAGGACTCCCTATACCCACTGCTTTTATTTTCTAAAAATAATTATGGAGAAAATCCAGGAAGCAGAAGCACTCTTACTAATAAAAAATATGCTAGAGGTCAGTGTTTTGTAGCATGCCTACTTATTTTTTTAAAATAACAAACCTAAAAGGGTAAGGTGTAGCCATAAGATAATGGAGCAACAAATCTCCAAGTAACATAGGATACCAAAGAGAAATATTTAACTTCAGCATCAGAGCAAAGAGAGCAAATATTTCTCTTGAACAACCAAGAAAAAAAAAGCAGCAAAATAGTTAATGTGCTTGACCAAATTCAGATTTCTTTTCCTATTCCCTCCTTTTGTCCCAAACCAATTAAACTTCTGGCTGAAACTACTAACCTATCAGTTTCTCCTCAAATTTCAAGCTAATCTGCCTCTCTATCAGCTTTCTTTATGATCTCTGCTGGTTGAAGATCATTGGAGCCAGCACATATGGAGAATACCAGATTGGGAAGGAGGATAAAGGCCACAAAACAAGGAAGTGAAACTCCTCCCCAAATGGAAATATCAGAAGAGGGGAGACTTTTTATTTTCATCACAGCTTTTAAATCTGGAATGCAGCATATGGCTCAGCCACTCCCTTTTACAACCTCTCTCCTCCACCCACATCCCACCCCCAGCAATCCGCTTAAGTCCTCCACAGGGGTGTCCTAAAGTTTTTGCACTACTATTCCATTAAAAAAAAAAAAGAATGTCAGCATCATTGCATTCCCAATTAATGAAATAACAGCGGCTTATTAAGGAGAGGGGGAGCTACTGCTATTTTTCCCAATTATTTAAATAAAATATAAAATATATGTAATCCTCGACTTAAAACAGTTCATTTAGCGACCATTCAAAGTTATAACGGCACTGAAAAAAGTTATTTATGACCATTTTTTACGTATGACCATTGCGGCATTCTCATGGTCATGTGATCAAAATTCAGAGGCTTGGCAACTGACTCATATTTATGACGGGTGCAGAGTCTCAGGATCACGTGAGACCTTCTGACCAGCAAAGTCAATGGGGAAACCAGATTCACTTAACAACCATGTTACTAATTTAACAACGGCAGTGATTCATTTAACAACTATGGCAAGAAATGTCATAAAATTCACTTAACAAATGTCTCACTTAGCAACAGAAATTTTGTGCTCAGTTGTGGTCGTAAGTTGAGGATTAGCTGTATTCAGGACAATTCCATTTTATAACAGGAATCTATTGTATGTGAGGTTCAGGCCTTTCCCATGAAACTTATTTCTTAGATCTTATATCGGACACCTCTTCATTACTGTATGTGTTTGTATATCCCAGCATTTTAAACCAATATGTACTATCTTTAATGCTGTTTCACTGAATTTTCCCATAAAACTCTACTTGTAAAAATGTAATTTTGAAATTTGACTTTTTTTTAACCCACCTCTGTTGTCTTTAATTGCCCTGCTGTCATTTGTAGTCACTCCTTTGCTTACAATTTTTTAAAAATGTGTTTTTTTCTAATTGTCTCAAACAATTTGGGATATAAGTATGAAAAATAAAATGAGGGAAAATCTTGAGTTACTTACCATGCCCTCTTTCACAACTGTAGGATTCAAACCTTTGTTGACATCGCTTGGATTAATGGTTAAGTGTATCTTCTGATGTCCCACAGATTTCTTCTCTGTGCCTACCACAGCACATCTTACCAACATTCCTGGAGGGAACAAGTCTGAGAGAGAATTCAGTTCCTGCAAAAAAAATTCAAGAGGGAATATAAAAAATAAGGAAAGATTAGTGGCAAGCTATTTTCTAGGTTTCACAGCAAGCAACATAATAACATAGTCTCCCCAGAGTATATTCAGTAAATTGAATATATTTTGAATATATTTTGACATTGCTATCAAACTGTGTTACAGACTGGATTCACAGCAAAATATATCACAATTAAGAATAAAATCAAGAATGGTACATATATGCTAATTCCAATGGCTGTCCTCAATTCTTTTGTCAAACAAACACTAATATCTATGTATTCAAGACCTGGACTTAGCAGATCCAAATGTGGTTTGATTAAGAGCAAAACAAACCACAAGGCAAATATGAATGCCTCCTTTGTTGATATTCATGGACTTCATCTACCAATTCCACATCATGTCTTACCTCCACAGGCTCATCAGTGGCCACCTGCTTATTTAGCAATTCATTATAGGCATCACATATGCAAGTTATTTTCACAAATCCAGTAAGACCATTTGGCAAGTTGATCACCAGATCAAACTGATTACTCTTTTTCACACATCCTAACAGCAGTGTTCCCTCTGTAAGAGACTGTTGAAGACAAACAAACACTAATAAGCAACAATCACAGATATACTTTTACATAGGTTTTGCACATTAAGCTTCTGTTAGTACAGATAACATATGAATTTAAGGAGATGCAACAAAGCACCCAGAAAAATCCAGTTAAGTGGAAAGGAAACCATATCACCATTTCAAGATCAAAGATCTGTAACTTGTTTTATACTGAGGGCTTATACTGAGCTTCAGAATATACATCTAGATCAGGGGTGTTAAGCTGCCGGCCCATGGGCCAGACGCATCACGAGGAAACCGTGCCCACCCCATTGCCGGCAATGGGGAAAAAGCTCCGATACGTCACGCGACGTCGCGAGTTTGACATGTCTGATCTAGATAATCAAACTATGGCTGGATTCATCTGTCTTCTACCAAGATGTGGTTTATTTGTGTCCTTTGTACAAACCTAACTAACTGAGGTTCATTCAATATTATGCTATATAAATAGGACTTACGAATTATTTTATCATGGTGACATATTATCTAATAAAATAAATTGGGATAGTCAGGTAGAATAGCATATCATAGCATGACAGATAAATTACAGTGCAAAATACCAACCAACCTCTGCTGACAAAAGTTCAAAATCTTTAGCACTGGTTTTTGTAACAGCTTTCTTCTCAGACTTAAGTTTTTTTGGTTCCTTTTGATCTTCATATTTTTTCTTTCTTTTCCGAGTTACTTCTTCATGTTGAGTCTAAAATAGATTACATAAAAATACAAAGTTGCTTCCCCAATTCTATAGATGTTAGTAATAGGGAGAGGAAAGCAATACATCACTGCAACTTTCAGGAAATGAAACAGAAAAAAGTTAAAAGAGTATGGCTCATTTGTACATAATTCAGTACAATATTATCAAAATATATCACTGGAGACCTAGGCTTGAATGATCTATTATCTTCTATATTGTAGGAGCAGAGCTAAGTCAATATATAGTAACCAAAAATTACATAAAGTGAGCTGCAGCTCATGAAATCTTATCCATCATAATAAAATATGTAAGTCTAAAGGTGCTGCCAACTCGTTCTGATTTTTATCTCCTGTATACAGAAAAGTAGGAAACATTCATTTCCATGTTTAATTAATCATAATTTGATATAAAATGAGAAACTATGGTTAATTAAACTTGGATTTTCTAGCTAACTTAAACTATTGTGAATGAATGAATGAATGAATGAATGAATGAATGAGATTTAAAGACTGTTGAACTCCAAAATACTCTGGGTGGCTTACAAAATTAAAAACAGTAAAATATTCGAACAGTAAAAATACAAATTATGTGCACCTGGGAAAAACATACCAACAGTCAATTAGAATTTATTTATTTATTAAATTTATATGCCACCCATCTCAGTATCCGAAGTAATTCTGGACCAACCAGAGAATTCTACAGGGATTTGGCACCCAAGGAATGGGGAACAGTCAGATTTCCAAAGACTTTTTTTACACCATTGGGTGGGAGCCACATAAATCTCTGGCTGGTTTTTTTCAGCAAGCGGGTGCTGTAACAGAGAATATATGTTTTCTGGGTTATAATAAATGACATTGTTTAATTGAAGAACTGGAACATACATACTCTGTCCCTGAACTATTCAATGCACCCCAAACTAGAAATGATCTTGGTTCATTTCAATAAGGCATATCTTAAATCAACCATTTTTACCAGATCTATACACAACAGCTAACTTAGCTAGGAAGTATATGCTGCCTCCTCTTATATGAAACAGAAGAGGTGAGGTGAATGACTCAATGTAAGACTGGAACAAGCTATATTTTGGGCCAATTTGGGTTATAATTTTCCCATAAACATGCTCAAACTGTAATAAATGAAGCACAGTGTGCAATTTATACAGTGCAAACATAAAAGCTTGTACTACAGCATCTTAGTACAGGAATCATCCAGGAGAGAATACAAATGATATATGGCCAAAAAACAAGGCAATCTCCTTTGCATAAAAGTTATTTCTTATATAAAATGTTATATCTCATCCGTCTAGAACAGGGGTAGGCAACCTTGGCTTTTTTATGACTCGTGGACTTCAACTCCCAGAATTTCTGAGCCAGCATAGTTGAAGTCCACGAGTCATAAAAGAGCCAAGGTTGCCTATCCCTGGTCTAGAACACACAAACCACTTAAGATGACTAAAAACAGTTACACCATTACTAAATTAAGATCAAATACAAAAGAAACAAAAATGCAAAGTTAAATAAAAACAGACAAATGTTTTAAAATTGTCTTGGGGGTCAGAGTATCTGTTGGACCTACTAATTAGTTTGGTAAATTTTAATTTCTGCCATAGTCTTCAGTGATACACTTATATTTTAAATAGTTCAAGAACTACCCTTTTAAAATGGCTTGTTATTAATTTGAAAAAAATCAACTATGAGTAAATATAATGAAGTATTGCCACCATTTGTCTGTTTTTTTATTGTATGTACTATAATCAGGATTAAACTTTATCATAGATTCAGTATTTAAATATAAAGAATCATTTATCCAAGCCCGTTTCCTTGTTCAGCTTTAATTTATCTGACATCTTGGGAGAACTTGCTCATAATCTCTCAGCTTTATGAGGAAGTGGAGTGGAGGCTGATAGATCCACCTTTTCCGCAGGTACTTTTTGGAATCCTGTTCTCTCAGAAATCCGATTTGCCTGCTTTCTATCAGCTTTCGCAAAGTATTACAAACTCTAGTTACTTCAGAGAGCCTTTGGGAAGATGAATTAATGGAAGATGGCATCAGCTCAACTGATTATAGTGTGATTATTTGCTTTTATAGTTTCAATGTTTTATTGTATTTCTTGATGTATATGAAGCATCAAGAGTCTCTGTAATAGCACCAGAGCACAAAATAAAGAAATAAAATTTGAAAACTACTGAAGCTTCATACCAAAATTTAAGCTCAGTGGAAATAAAGTATTCATATATATTTCTCTCCCACCTTCATTTTTAAAGTGTTCCCATATTATCACTTTGGAATTTGAAAAACTGCTAATACTTTAAGATTCAAAAAAATATTGATAGATTTGAGCATTGGAGCCTATCCAACAAGATACAGTTTAGTGAAAAGTAAGGTCCTGCACTAAGGCAGGAAAAACCAGATACACAGGTACAGGAGAGGGGCCTAGATGTCCTGATGGACCACTGCTTAAATATCAACTAGCAGTGTGCTGCAGCTGCCAAAAAAGCCAACAAAAATAGGTTGCATCAACAGAGGGACAGCATCAAGAAATGATAGTCTCGCTCCATATTGTATTAGTGAGGCCACATTTAGAATACTACATCCAGTTCTAATCACCAAGATTAAAAGAAAGATGCCCTATAGGCCCTAGAAAGAGTGCAGAGAACAGCAACAAAATGATAAGGGGTATGATGAATGTTAAGGGAACAATGTATGTTCTAGGCCACGGGTGTCAAACTCGCTGCATCATGTGATGTGTCATGACTTTTTTGCATTGCTGGAGCTGGGGTGGGCAGTCTCCATATGATGCAACTGGCCCACAGGCCGGCAGTCTGACACCCATGTTCTAGCCTAGGAAGCTTAGGGGAGACATGAAAGCCATCTTCCAATACTTGAAGGGCTGTCACAGGGAAGAGAGCATCAATTTACTCTTCATAGCACTTGAGGGTAGGACAAGAAGTAAAGGTTGGAAGCTCGTTAGAGGGTGATTCAACCTCGAAATAAAGAGAAATTTCCTGACAGTGGCAACAACTAATCAATGGAAAAGCTTGCCTCCCAAAGTTGTGGGTGCTCCATCACTGAAGGTTTTCAAGAAAAGACTGGACAACCATTTGTCTGGGATGATATAAGGACTCCTGCCTTGGGCAGGGGGACGGACTAGACCTCCAACATCCCTTCCCGCCCCATGACTCTAAGAAAGCCAGGGTATAAGGCAATTGGTATCAGTCACAAAGCTAGTTAGAGGAATCAATGGTCTGAGGCAATAAAAGTTTAGATGTTCATAATTTGCATACCTTGAATAAATTATCTTCTTCAACTGTTGGTTGTCTGACTGCTTTTTCTTCCTGTCCTTTCTTCTGTATACCACCTCTTGGAAAATTCTCCTCTATAGATGACATGGTTGTCTTTCTATATGAAAGGAAACTAAACTATTAGAATGTATAAATCATTCATCAGGACAAAATTATACAACGTAAGCATTCTTTCATTTTAGGAATGAGAGATGACAGGTATTAAATCATAAGAATATAAAATATTTGACTCATTTTTTAAAAAAAATATTAGCTCTTTAGCCATTCTAATAGTGCCAAAAATTGGAACCATCCAAATATATATATGATCCCATGTCATCCTCCACCTCTGGGTAAGTAAGCCGGTAGTGATGGGAAGTTCAAAACAACCAAAAGACATGAGATAGGGGAAGGTCAATGTATTCTGGAACACTGATAATCAAGATTCATTCTTTATCAATAACTAAGTCCTGGGCCGGGGAGATCATAGACATTTTAATTGATTACATCATCATACAAATATTCTAAAACAGAGCTGTTATAAGAGTTGACTATTTTCAGTCCTTTTTTTCATTGAGCTGTAGTTTCACAATGGCTAGTTGTTAAGATTGACAGATGATTTTTCTTTGACTTATTAAACTAAAGCTTTTCAAATTGGGATGGAAAGAGTTTCAACTGCGTAACTATTTGTAGTCAATTATTGAATTCATATTGCAAAAATAGTTAAAATGAGCTTTTCTTAAGAAAAATATCCTGAAAATTCTGAAGAGAATCTAGATCCTGAAATTCCTTGCATAGCATCACAGTGTCCCTATTACTATTATCTATAGAAATAATCCTTATAGTCCAATAAAAATAAATATGAATTTGTAACAGAGAAGGAAAGTAACAGTTATGTCTTTGCTATGTGTCTGCTTCAAATAAATTATTTTAACCTCAGCTTGCCTTTCAAACATTTAATTAGCTATTTTTATATCTCACTATCAACACAGGACAGCAATACAAACTGTTATTCTTAAATTAATAATAATCACTTTGGTTTGTTAATATATTTCTGAATATTAATTAACATTGTAATTTTTTGGTACAGATCTTTTTTAATCCAAAGCAACCCCCACTAAGCATTGTCTCCATGATTTTAAAAAATGTTAAAAATGAGTAAAAAAACTGGGATGCTGTTTTCAGCATATTACAGAAAACTTTGAGCAAACACAATATCTGAAAAACTTTGCATTCTGCAAAATGCTTTTATGCTTTCTTATAAAAAGGTATGATTAGTTCACTGTTTGGAATGGTCTTTGAGGTACACGTTGAGTCTTATTCATATATTACCTGCTAGCTATAAGCTAATACAATCTATTAGCTACATATATTATCCATTAGCTATTATCATCACAGAAGCAGAACACCAAATAAAGTGCATCACTGAACAAATTGTTAGGCAGAATACAATTCAACGTTATAAAGTCACTCTTCTGCACAGTGTAGCAGGATTGTAAGAGGCCCAATTTTTATAAAGTAGACTGTGGCTCCTACTCATTTCTTTATTAATATTATAGATTCCTATAAAGTTAGAAAGCATCTTTGCTCAACTAAGACTCCAAATAATAAGTAGCTGTATAATAAGCTGAAACCCATATACAAGAAAAATACTTATAAACTGATTTCTACCCATTTCACAATTGAAAAGGACTGGAATTTTAAAAGGTCTGCAAGCATTTGAAACCAGAACTGCAGCCATGGTGAAGATGAAGGCAGTTTCTTTTGTGCATAAGATTTTTTGATGCAGTTACCAAAGTAAAGGAGTGATATTGGAAGACAAACAGGAGCCACAATGAATGGCTGCAGTATACAAGTAGTCCTCAACTTTTGACCACAATTGAGCCCCAAATTTATTTTGTTAAGGGAGACATGTGTTAAGTGAGTTTTGCCCCATTGTATGATCTTTCTTGCCACAGTTGTTAAGTGAATCATTGCAGTGGTTAAGTTAATAACACGGTTGTTAAGTGACTCTGGCTTCCCCCTTTGCTTGTCAGGTCTCAAAAGGTGATCATGTGACTCTGGGACACTGCAACCCTCATAAGTATGTATCAGTTGCCAAGTGGCTGAATTAGGTGACTATGGGGTTGCTGCAACGGACATAAGTGAAAAACGGTCCTAAGTCATTGTTTTCAGTGCCACTGTAACTTTGAACAGTCTCTAAATGAACTGTTGTAAGTCGAGGACTACTTGTACCAATAAGACTATCTTCCCAGTAAGCAGAACTAAAGTGTGATAAATAGGCATCAATATGATAAATCTTCAGAGTCAGTTAAACCTACAATTGGTGAGAGTCAGGAAAAGAAAACATAAAGGAAGCAAGATAAACATATAGGCAAAAATAGCTGGGTCTGAGAAAGGAAGAAGAGAAGCCATAATATATATATATATAGCTGTAAAAGGAAATGGCTAGCCAGGAAAGACAAGATGAAATGGAGAATAGGAAGATAAGCTGAATAAGAGGAAAGGCACGCTGAATTGAAAAGCAGGAAAAGAACTTATTGTTTAAAATGGGGACATAAATATCTATTGAGTTTAAAATAACCATTTAAATGTCTAATTTTTCTTATTATTATTGTATATGTGAATATGATTTAATATGTTATCAGGAAATGTGTATAAGCAGACGGAAAGAGTGTAACCTCATAATACCTCAGCCAATGGGGAAAGAGGAGGGATGTAGCGGCCGGTGATAGGGATGAATAAAAGGAGGAGATATTTTGGGTTAAAACTTTGGAGACAACCAAGCTTTGATAGCTTCTCTCCCCGCTTATTGCAATAAACCAGGGGTTCTCAACCTTGGCAACTTTAAGACTTGTGGACTTCAACTCCCAGAATTCCTCAGCCAGCAAAGCTGGCTGAGGAATTCTGGGAGTTGAAGTCCACAAGTCTTAAAGTTGCCAAGGTTGAGAACCCCTGCAATAAACGAAACAAAAGGCCTTCACTGTGTCTTGGCTGGTTATTGGTCAGGCGAGCTTGCCTCTGGTCACCAAGGAAAGTAGCCAGGAGCACATCACAAGTGGAAAATTTATCTAAAATTATTAGAGATTTTTTCTTTCTTCACCAAATTTTATAAAATTATATTTTTTCCAATGATGCATATAAAGCACTCTGTGGATATTTATTTAAAAAAAAAAAAGAGCTGGGGAACGATTATTTCAGCGGAGACTATAAATCCACCCCGCAACTCTTGGGGTCTACCCAAGTTCAACACGTGGAACTCATGTTGCTTTTTTCCTCCATTCCCAGTTCGGTAAGCCTTCCCTCTTTACGTCCTGCTCCATTCCTTCTCCCCACATCTCCCTCGCCTTTTCCCAAAAAGCTGTCTTACATTCCTCATACTTACTTTCACGTATCAATCGCACGCTTGAAGAAAAGACACCATTTGTCCCTTGACCCGGAATGGAAAACGATGGCGAAAAAAGGTAAAAGGAAGTGAAGCCGATTACCAAGTAGTAACCATAGAGCAACGGCATTGATTTCCGTCACAGAAGGTAGAAACTAGTAATTTGACGAGCATATTCATCGGCCAATAAAAACAACCGGTCTTGGCCACAGTTCCGGTTTGGATAAATAAACTCCCTCCTCAGTGCATCAATGATTGGCTAAGGAACGTTGGTCAATTGAATGACTCCATTTTGTACATGAAGGGCATTGAGTCGTTGCTACCTGGAGGAGGCAGCGGATAGAGAACGCGGTGGGTGCTGCCTTGTCTTGTTACTGGTATTTGATTTTGTAAAAGGGAATAATATTTCTCAGCATGCCTTGAAGTAAATTAAATTTTATCACATATAAATAACTAGGCGAAGAATACCAATTTTGTTCTGCAATTATTTGAAAGATTATGCATGCTTTTACAAACGTAGCTATTTTTATAGCATCCTTCTCAACCAGAGTCTTCCATTTGTTTTGAATCACAGCTTTTTAATTGCAGTACCAGGCAACGTGACAGTCCCAACACTTTTGAAAGGCACCGGGAGGGCGAAAACTGATCAAATAGGATCATTTGCTGCCGGATAAATGGGAATATGTACTGGTGCATGTAACCGGCATCCTGTAATTGTATAGTAATTTTTTGTTCCGGGATGGTTAAAATATTGAGTTTATGTTTGAGCAGTGCTGCCTGTCTTGGATCTATAGGTGAACCATCTTCATATTTCAGATTTTCTGTTCTTAAGTGGATATAAATTCAGGTGGAAAAGGGATCTCGTGTGCTTGTCTAGTTAGAAAAGTAAAATACTTGGTAAGTGGTTTTCATATTTAACAGACCACTTAGCTTTAATTGTTGTATTGGATTGATTGATTTATACTCCCCAGGCCTGTATTTCGTCTCAAATCCTAAAGGGGTGGAATATACTGCCATACTTTTCTATTCACTGTAATCAGGTACAGATGTATTGAATGCTATGACATTTTTGTCCCTTATCTGGGGAGATGAATTGTCATACACTTTAAATTTCATAGTTGTGTACAATGTTAATTGATCCCTAAAAGTTTAATGTCCCAATAGGATGTTGCTTTTGCTTTTTATGTTACTGGCTGAAAAAATTGGTGCTCTAAGAATACTTACAACATTCTCCTATGCCAAAAACAACACAATCCTACATCCGAGCCCAAGCAGAATACGCTCTTGTTACCTATTGTGAATTGTAGCTCCCTCTCCTAGTTGCATGCAATTTTTGGTTTTTACTGTCCGGAAGTGTGATAAGTCTAGGAGAAGATGAAGCTAAACAATAGTATCTTGATTGTCATAGGTTGCTTTTGGAGGTACTGGGGAACAGATTGGTCCATTGTGGAAAAAAACACCAAAGGAGAGAGGTTAAGGTCTTGATTTGTACACTGTCTTGTCTAGCACTAACAATTTGATAAAAGCTTCCAGTGGGAGGAACAAACCATTCTCTGGTAGAGAGAAAGTAGTTGAACTTCAACTGTAAAGGGTCCTGGAGGAAACATTATCTGGACACATTGCAGTCATATTCAGCTTAGAGAGGAGGTTCATTGAGTTTATGTATAAGTTCTGGTCCTCCTGGCCTTGTTTGATGTCACAGTTGCTTTCAATACCATCAATCATAGTATTCTTTCAAGTTATCTTCAAGAGTTGGAGGAGGGGGGAGTGATCAAACCTAAAGCCCTAATTGGAGATAGGGGGTATGCTGTAGGGCTCTTTTCTCTCCTCAGTCCTATTCAGCATTAGGTGAATAGTGGTTGAGATATTTCATCAGGTCATTGAGATGTAATTCTCAACCTATGATCAAATAAATGATGTCAAGTTGCTAGGAGACTCTCCCAAGACTGGATTGGGAGAAACAGATTGAGACTCAATGCCAGCAAGACAATGGCATTGGGTTCCAAGGTCTGTCAATTTCAGTGAGATTCCATTGTTAAATCTGAGCAGGTGGAACTGGTTTACAATTCAGACTTCCCCTTGAACTCATAGCTCCTACCCAAAGAACAAGTAATATCTATGACCAAGAGGGTATTTGTACAGCTTCATCTTGTATTTCAGTTGCACTTTTTCTTGGAATGAAAGGCATTACTTTTATTTATGCGTTTATAACCTCTCAAGTGGACTTTTGGAATGAGCCCTGTACAGTATGGAATATTGGGACCTGCAATAATTAGTGATTGCCATCTCTAGGCACATATGTAACACTTCTAACAGTCACATTGGTTTCTGAGTGCAATTCAAAGCCACTCTGTCTTGCTGGGAGCGAGTCTTAGTTTGTTTGTTTTAGGACCTGTATCTGTGGGACAGCCTTCTCCCAATAACATCTATCCACTTGATAGGATTCAATAGGGCAGGTCATTTATGTGTCCCTTAATAACAGATTTGTTACTTTAGGGACTCTTCAGTGTGTTTTCTCAGTGGCTGCCCCACTCATGGGAATAGCATTGTCCCTGTGTGTGATTGGCCCCTTCCCACCTGGTGACTAGAAAACTAATAAAAACCTGGTGTTTTCATCAAGCCAGAACAGTTGGATTATTCGGTTCATGAGATTGGATCTTTTATAAAGCTGGCTAACTAGAAACCTACTCTATATATTACAGTTAAAATAGAAAATATAATTAAAACAAACCTTGAAACAATGCATTTTAAAACAATTAAAATATTGAGGCCTGACTTACTAAATATGTTTTAACTCCTCCTAAATTGTAATAAGGATAGGGATTGTTTCAACTTCAATAGCAGTTTGTTCCTCAATTATGAGCTTCGCCAAAGCAAAATTATTTGCATCAGATCTTCTAAAAGATGCCCCATTGATGGTTTAGGAATGGAAGGCAGATTATATGGGATGGTCCTATAAGTGTCTTGGCCTGAGCTATATAAGCCTTTATATACCATTGAGAGTATCACTGTGAGTTGGGGCAGCATATACAGCATATAAACTTTGAGTTGGATACCATAACCAGTGAGCTTTTTCATACATGGTAGGGGGTTACGTAGCATCTTCAAGAGTTGATATACATTTCATTGCATTCTATGCGTGCTGCAACTTTCAAATTATCTTGAAAGGCTAAGGGGCACATTGTAGTAATCCAGCTTGAGATTTACCGCCGCATCAGAAACTGAAGCTAAGTGTCTCTTCCTGGTATGAAAGCAGTAGGTTGGAGAATGCAACCTGTCCAAAGATTCAGTAATATTTCTACCAGCCTTAGTTGGTCATTTATTTGTATATTTGCTTCAGTCCTGGGTTAAATATCCATGGGCTTTCCAGTCAGGCTACTTACTTGAGACAGAACTACAAAAAAGCAAGTAAAGCTACTTTGTAACTGTTAGTGTGTTAATTGTTATTTGTTTACCAGTTACTAATAATTTTGTTACAAATTAAAAGTGCATCAGATAAATATACACAAACAAAATTGTTTTAAATTGAAATTAAGATTAATTTCTGTTGCATCTAGATCAAGCAATAATGGCAGGACATGATTCTGGAACAGAACACCAATTTACAGGATTTAAGAAATACTTTAATAGCTATACAACAATAGGCAGAAGGAATGTAAGTATCTGCCATTATAATTTTACAGTATTCATTTGAAATTTTGGTTGATCTGACCTGTATGTATTCTGTTTTTAGTATGTGCTACTTACATATGGAAGCATTCTAATGCTCATCATTGGATTTAAAATGAGGAAACCTAAGGAAATCGCACACAAATAAGTAAGTGTCGTACTATTTGGTGAATAAACAATAACCTGAGTCTAGTAACACTGGACCTAAAATATCTCTAATGTAGCTGTTTTCCTATTTTTCTCGTTACATAGATTTTATGGAGCTCGCTTAAGAAAAGGGTTTAATTTTGGGTAGTCTTCATTTAGCAACCACAGTTGGAAGTGGCAACTCGGTTGCTAAGTAATGCAGTCACAAAATAGAAACCCATGTGACCACAATTAGCTTACAATATTACTTTAGCAAGGGAATTAATGTTTGTATTTACATTTATTGGAGATGAAGGAATTTCAAGAGAGTAAGCAGGCACACAGTGGGGGATACATATTGAAAGGAACGGACTGGCACCAGTTGTTTGCCTAGCAAGCTCCTGAGCTGCAAACAAAACCCAAATTGATTAAAGTCTAGTCAGTTACAGGCCGTCACAGAGCTGAACTTGTTAACTTGTGGTTAGCATTTGGTTGGAGAAAAGCAGCTCAAGAAGAGATCACTTGTTTAGTCTATCCTCTCTGTGGAGAAGGGGGGGGGAGAAGGAAAATAGGTCAGGCAGAGGGCAACATTTACTAATCAGCAAACAGCATGGGCTTGATCACAATTTTTTTTTATCATTGTCATAACTTCAGATGATCGCTGGCTGATGCAGACAGTATGCAAGGTCTACTTGTTTTAGCTGTTTTTAGTGAATGTACTGAAGTTTACCCTATTTTATTTTCAATATAATAATATATGATTCCATAGTTTCAATTCTGTAATTCCTTACTTAATGAAGAACTTTTCTGTCACTTCGATATCTATTAGCCTATTTTTATATATTGTTTACAGATAGTCCTTTTTTAGCGGTTACAGTTGGGACTGGCAACTTGCTCACTAAGTACTAAGGTCACTAAGCAGAAGATTACATGACTTCAATGGGCTTAAACGACTTTCCCATTTGATTAAGAGAAGCTCCACAGTTCTTAAGCAAAACATCACATGACCAGAAGTTACAATTTTATTTCTACCTTCTCTGTTAACTCCTTTGTTGCAATGGTAATCACATGACTGCGGGATATTGTAATGGTCATAAATGTGAGGATTGGTCACATAACTTTTTTTTATAGTCATATCTTTGAATAGTTGTTAAAGCAGTTGGTAAACAAGGACTACTTGTACACCTGTTTCCTCATTTCATAGGGGAGAATTGAGTCTTAAATAAAAGTTATGCTAGATCATGTGTTGACTGAAGTTTCTTTCTTTTTTCTTGGACAGATTCTTATTGTTGGACTTCCTTGTTGTATTGCTGTCCATGAGTTGCAGAAGCAGATGCACAGTTCAGTAAATTATGAAAAAATGACTATATTTGCCTTTAGTATCAATGTGTGAAAACTGTCCAAATTTCTGGTGTTAATTATTAATTAAAGAAGCCCTCTCAATCTGTATTGCCCATAAATGAGAGTAATTTTAAGCATTGCAGTAAACCATCTGCTCCACAGAATAAAAAAGATGACTGTTATTATCATGAAAGCAACATCACATCTCTGCCTTAACAGTTTTGAGCACTGATTTAGTTCACTGAAAAGTATTTTCACTATTCTGCCTTTCTAAACAAACAGAATAGTCAAGATAGCCACTATAAAATATATGGAAAGTAAGCTAAAATAGCACAATCTTAAAAAAAAACAGAACAAAGAATTCTTTAGAACAGTTCGTGAATGCCTGTTTAAAAAGATTTATCTTAAGGTTTTATTCTGAAGATCTTAGTGTATGGACAAGTATATAATAAGAAAAACAATTTGTTAGATGTAGATCGTAGGCCTTTTAGGGTTTAAAATGTTAAAATAGTGGTTTTTGGCCTACAAAGTTTTGTGTGCATCTGTACACATACATACATATGCCCTTCAGCGTTCTCCATCCACCATACCCTGGATGACTTTTCTATACAGTAAGTGAAGGGAGATATCAAAAGCTAAGCAAATGTTAACATAAAATTCTGTAGTTCCTTTCTATACTAATAAAAATGGGATTTGTATTACTGGATTTGTACTCCAATTAACCATGCAATGTAATTTTGTTAACTTTTAATAATTGCCAAACAGATTAGCATTTAAAAAGTGATACCCAGGTCTGTCCTAAATAGAAATAATCAAGTCTGTAAATGCCCATAATAGGCAGCACAATTAACCAACCTTGGCTGTCCTAAAAATCTAAGCAGGTTCAGACTAGGTAAGTACTACTACTGGTATTATATTTTTACCCTATCCTAGTTAACTAGTCACAGCAAACATTCTTTAAGAGCATAAAGCTTCCCTAAAACAAATCTATACTAATTGAAGAGAATATTTGTAGCTTAGGGTTGAATTGCTGAGTCCTTGGTACTCTCTGGGTCTTCTTGCAGATGTGAAACACAATTTTTGTTTCAGTCCAGTGCTAAGTGCCAGCATCAAACAATCCCAGAAATGTTAGCAATTTTTTTTACCACAAATTACATTATCTGAGAATTATTTCACTATTCGCTGTATCATAATTTTTTTGAAATTGTAACTATGAACAGATAGTCTTCAGTTAAGGACTCTTCAGCGACCAAAGTTGTGATAGTGCTGAAAAGTACTTACCACTTGTTCTCAAAGTTCTGGCCACTGTACCACCCCTGTAGTCACATGATCACAATCCAGATATTTGGCAAGCTCACACGGTTGCAACGTCTTATGGTCATGTGATCATTGGCAAGGTTCCTTGCCAGCTTCCCATAAGCAGTGAGAAAGCCAGTAGGGAAGGTTGCAAGTTGCTCTCACCACTTTTTCTCCCAAGCCATCCGTTACAGAACACAAGATACTAGGGTTTCCATACACTGTAATGCACACTTGCATCACAGCACACCCCCAGCCTGCAACCAGTTGCACCACTTTAGCATCCTGTGCAAATCACAGCACCTCCCTCTCTCATGCCTTAGTACAGTGGTGGCGAACCTATGGCACAGGTGCCAGAGGCGGCACTCAGAGCCCTCTCTGTGGGCACGCATGCCGTTGCCCCAGTCCTAGGCCTTCAGCTGGGTTTTATAAAACCTTTTCCCTTTAGGCCTCTGCCGCTGTGTGCCAAAAAAAAAAAAAAAAAGGTTCAATCAATCAGTCAATTTCAACTTGCGGTGGAAAAAAAGATCTTGCAAAGTTGGAATTGATTGATTGAACTTTTTAGTCCCACCCAGTCTGCCATTACCACTGCAACCACGCCCACCCAATGGGCCACACCCACCCAATGGCCACACCCACCTGGCACCCGACGATGCATAAGTGGGTTTTGAGTTGCAGTTTGGGCACTCGGTCTCTAAAAGGTTCGCCATCACTGCCTTAGTATTTTTCCAGCTTGTTTGCAAGCTGCCCAGGACTAGTAACTGCCAGCCAACTTTCCCATTGATTTTGCTTGTGGGAAGCTGGCAAGAAGTTGCAAGTTGCACTCATAGAATGGTCTCGCTGTGATTTCCATTTAATGGCAATAGGAACTGCCAGCATTGCTATCGTTAAACGATGCAGCCATGTGACATCACGCTTTATGATTGCATTGCTTAGCAACAGAAATTCTGGCCCCAATTACCATTGAGGACTACCTGAAGTCTTATCATTGCATTAAAGTATGCTACAGTAATATAAGGTTGCTTCTTAAAGAACATGTAAAGATAACTCACTCAAATGGAAGTATTTTTACAGAATTTTTATTATAAAGATATAAAACTGTATAAAATACAAAATCATAATTATTTTTTAAAAATGCATACTGGGTCTATGCTGCTTGATTTCAACAATATATACCTGATTTATTATAATGGAAAAGGTTAAGGCCAGTTGTTTTTTTATTCATACTTGAATAATCATATTTCTGGGACAATAGTTTTTACTTCAGTAGAACAATATTTAGAATTCTTAGAGAAGCCAGTGTCTCTTAAAAGTCTTAAGTAACATTAATGAAGTCAATCTTCTGAAATGTTAGCTATTTTAGTAATTCCTAATACATACATAGTTATATGTGATTTTTAAAGCTCTGGAGACTTAATTTAAATAATAATTCTGGTTCCTTGCTACATAAATACAGTACGCTGTTCTATACATTCTACTCCCCCCAACTTTTTTGAACAAAGTTTTACAGAAAAATATTTACACAGTTAAACCTATGCTAATGTTGGGAAAGGAGTCCCAAGGATATTGAGAAAGGGAAAAAAGGATTAACTGGTACCCAAACTAACTGTCTATTCACAGTATCTTGGCAGTTGGCATCAGCTAATTCCTTCCTTATGAGTAGAAAAGACTATGTTCCTGTTTGGGAGAGGGTTAGAAAAAAGCAGAAATGCCACTGTTTTCTTTCTGTCCTGCTTTACTTAGTACCCTTTTACTTAGTAGAATTTCAGTTCATTTATACAATATATTAATGGTAATATTCCGGAATGTGAAGATCTAAACATACTTTACAAGACTTGCATAATCAAGCCATCTACTTTTGTGTTTTACTGAGAACTATAAGCCCCAGCAGCAAGAAGTAAATTTCTTCGAGTAAAGTGGAGGTGTATAACTGGAGTTGATTTGGTCATATATGTGCCCAGCAGCATATCCTGTGAACTTTCAGGAAGGTTTATGTGTCCAGTGGCTGTTGTAAAATCATCTGTCTCCAAGTCCTCAAAAGCTTTCACAGCATCCCAAAGTTTAACCGTGTTGTCCATTGAACCTTGAAAAAAATACATGAAAAATATCAAAAATAGGAATTGCAATTATCAGTTCATGGCATTCATGGATTCTATAAACACTTCACTATAGTCAATTTGTCAAACATAGTTTAGTATTTCTTGGAAAAACAAACATTTATCACGGTAAATGTAAAAATAAAATTATGTCTTGATTCAGAAAACAAAGAGTACCGAATATCCCTGTTAATGCCTGGACCAGAAAAACTATGTTGAAGGTTGAAGCGTTTTTCACTTGGCCCTGAAGAATGAACATATCCAAACTTTCAAATATTGTTATGGTGACTTCGGTAGTACACCTGCCATTCCTAATTACTTTTCCAGCCTCATCTGTCTCACACAGAAAAATGTTTATGCCTCAATGAGATTTAACACCTTATTCTCAAAGGGGTTGGAAGGGAGGTTCAATAATGCCAGATATTTGAGGCATCTCTGTCCATGCTTGGATGAAGCTATCAAGACTGTTTCACAAAGCTCTCTATGTCATCTTTTGTATCACACTTAGTACTCTGGGTCAAGATTTGTTCTACCTACCAAATATAGTTTGATGTGAATGGAGCTTATGTGCTTTATATTCTTCACTTTTTTATTGTTTGTTGTATTTTATCTGTGATTTCTACAGTCTGGTATTAGACTGTATATTCAACTAAACTAAGAGTGCTTAATATACCAGGAATTTAGAAAATTCATATGAGCTGTCACGTTTGGGAGGTAACTCATCAATTTTTTAAAATGGAAAATAGTTGAAGTTATGATAAATGCTCAAGCAAACCTACTGTTCTATTAATAGTAGAAGTCTGTCTTCGTAGTTTTCTAAAAAAAATAAAATTCTAAAAAAATTACATGATACTGTCACGTAAAAGAATTTTATCTTCCCAGTAATGTTGACAGAAAAATGTCTGAAATGAAATTAAAGGAATATACTACAGATCACAACTTTATTTCAAGAAGACTCTGTAATCTGTAAATATGAAAACTGCAAAGACAATCCTAACAAAACTGGTTTCAAAATTGCACAAATGTTCATTTCCAAAGCCTCAAGCTATCTAACAAATTTATTGTCAGGATCTCATGGGTGGATGGGACCATTTATAATACTAATGCAACTATTTCTGCAATTACTTTTCATCTTTAGAAATTAAATAGTTTGATAGCATTAGTTTTCTAATAAATTGTTTTAATCATACCTGAAGCTAAGATCTCTCCATCTCTACTGAATTTGAGTGCATAAATTGTGTCTGAGTGTCCTTTTAGCTCTCCTACCATTAAACCATGGCCAATATCCCACAGAAGCACTCTTCCATCAGTTGCTCCACTTGCCAAGAATCGTCCATTAGGAGAAAATGCTAATGAATGAACTGGTCCCTAAGGAGTAAACAAACAAAACAGGCTGAAAATAATTTATAAATGTTCACATTTAAACATGCTTAGTGTTTAAATCTGCTAATCATTCCCATTCAGTTATATAGTGTTTGTAGATGAAAAATTCCAGTTGTTGGAACAAAATCAGTTGTGACGGATTGTCCATGTGATAACACTTTCCAATCTCCAGCAGAGTCCAGGACTAGCTGGGTCAAGTACACTTAATGTTCTACTTCCTCGTTATCTACTTCAGCCCAGAATCCAAATAATGGATTTAAATATGACCAGAAAGGATGTTTGATTATAGTTTTTTAATCATATACAAGCTCTATGTGATTTTCTCTCCCACTAGAGAAACTATCTCTTAGGGGCAGAAGGTAGAATTTCCCACATCTCTTGATTTGGCTTCTAGAAAGACTAGTCATAAGCAATGTAAATCTACATGACATTGTAAGTAGCACTTTACCCTGTTCCTGAAAACAAACTGGCAACTGATATATCACTGCTGTTATGGCTCTCTCACCAGCATATAGCTGCCATATTTTACATTACTTAAAAGTTTGTAAATAATTTTCAAGGCCAGTCTCCAGTACATATGCATTGTAGTAGTCCATCTTCAAAGTACAAGTAATCCTTGACTTACATTTAGTGACCATTCAAAGTTACAATGGCATTGAAAAATGTGGCTTATGACCATTTTTCAGTTATGACTGTTGGGGCATCCCCATAGTCATGTGATCAAAATTCAGATGCTTGGCATCTGATTCATTTATGACCAATGCAGTATCTTTGGGTCATGATATTATGTTTTGTGACTTTCTGACAAGCAAAGTCAATGAGGAACCCAGATTCACTTAGCAACCATGTTACTAACTTAACTACAATGATTCACTTAACAACTGTGGCAAGAAAGGACGTAAAATTCACTTTACAAATGTCTCA